AAAAAAAGGGGAAAAAAGGGGGAAAAAACAACAACAACATATATATGGGAAATGACAAAACCCAACAAACATTACAAGTCATGTAGACCACCAGCACTTCTGACAGCCCGCAGGATGCGTCCGTTCTGTTTTACTTTTTTATCACTTTTTACGGTCCTACCGACTCCTAAACCACCAGTACACCCGCACCTAAAATCCCGAACCGAGACGCAAAGTCCATCTAGGTTTTTCAAAGTGGGGGGCACTGCGGCTGGGCGGCTGCGCTGTTTAGCGCTAATTTTAGCCGCTCCGAACCGGCGCCGGCCGAAGACGACGTATGCCGCGTTGGGCTTCGACCCTGCCATGCCGTCAACCCTGCCACTGACGGGGCACGATGGGATCTCCATACCCTGCACTACGCGGGTACCGGCTGTGTCCGGAGAGGACCCTTTCAAGGCAGCCTATCTACCTCTATCCATCAGTTGCCCAGAGACAGGTGGATACTCCCAAAAGGCAAAGGCCGTTCCTGGCTTGCATCATATCTCTGGTCAAACCCAAATTAGGGTTGTTGTCATCATCGGTCTACGTGAAAAGTTACATATGCTAACAAGGTACTGCTAAGGGAAGTGAGAGAGAGAAGTGTGGAAAGGAGAGGCACAAGGAGGAGGAAGACAGAAAAGGTAAGGTGGGAAGCTGCAGCGGTAAAGAAGGGAGAACGAAAGGAGAATAACCGAGAGTGGTAAAAACTTCCCTGTGGATAGAGTTAATCCATGTAAAATGTGACCTTAGAATAGAATTAAATTCCACATTACGGTGTGTTAGGGTAACTAATTTCATAACTTTTCGGTTTTTTGTGCAACTAGGGACTCGCACGGGACGGTCTGAAGACAGGTGTCTTCATTGTGGGAGGTCCGTGGTTGGGGATGGGACTGGCCAAGAGTGCCTCTCCCAACCCGCTTTGGCTATGGCATTCATGCGAGGGATGCCGGGCCGGTTTCCCGATTTTATAATGCAAAGAACGCCACCTTGTTAAAAAAAAAAAAAAAAAAATGCAGTCTAGTTGTGTAGGTTTCAAAAAATGTCACGGCGGGCATGGTCAAGACCGAGAGGCCATGGCCCAGCCACGAGAGACCAGGGCAGGCCTGCATCTGGCCCAAATCACGGCCACGTTCAATCGGCACCCCTGTTGCTCTTCACTTGCCGCAGGAAGAATTTCAGCGGTCCGCTCTGATAGATCGAACAGCTAACTTCTCCCCCAACAAGTGAAGCGTCAGGGCCTACAAGACTCTGGACAGCCAAAAAAAAAAAAAAACTCTGGATGACGTGGCCACTGACACAACTCTGTCAAAACCTACCCAACATAATTGCGTTCAAAACTTCAAAAGAAAAAAGAAAAAAGAAAAAAAGGCGACGGCCTTGAGATATCATTATTGAGTTGACCGGCCCCATGCAATTCAGAAACATTTGGTTTTACTCATCAATCAAGTTCCATTATTTGGATTTAAACTCGGGTCTATATTTCAACAGTTCATGGGTGTACCCATTCAGCTAGGTTCTTGGGTGAGTTTAAAACTTCGCTCTGCACTAAACTGCAAAACCCTACCTACTCTCGATTCTAGAGGCAACGTGCATCGATTATTACGGCCTTAACCGTTACACGGTTTAGAACAACTATCCCATGCCTCGTGCAGATAAGTTGTTCGATTGTCTGGCAGGCAACCGCTTCTTCACGAAGATCGGTCTTCGTAGCAATTACCACCAGATCCGCATTGTCGCAGAGGACCAGCCGAAGACCGTCTTCCGATCATGCTTCAACCACTACGAGTTCACAGTGATGTCATTCGGCCTCTCCAATGCACCGACCACCTTCCAGACGACGATGAACGATATCTTCGGGGACATCCTTGAAGAATACGTTCTCGTATACCTGGACGGCATCTTGGTCTACAATCGTATTTTAGAAGACCATCTCAAACATCTCTGCGATGTTCGGTAGGTCTTACGCAAGCATGGCTTTTATGCCAAGCTCAGTAAGTGTCGCGTTGCCCAGTGCAAAGTGGGCTTTCTAGAACACCATGTGTCTGACTAGGGTCTCCACATGGACGACACGAAGATCACTGTTATTGCGGAGTGGCCCATCCCCACATATGTCAAGCAGCTTCATAGTTTCCTAGGCCTTACTAGTTACTATAGTAATTTCATTCGGGGATACGCTAGGTATACCTACGTCGTTACCTCCACCCTCCTCCGGAAGAACCCGCCATGGTTTTTGATACTCCTCTGCGAGAATGTTTTTCGCGCCCTCAAGAAGGCTATGACTTGTGCGTCGGATCTTCGCCTCCCCGATTTTGATCGCCCCTTCATTGTCACCACCGATGAGTCCGATTTTGCAATAGAAGTTGTACTTTCTCAGATGTTTCTCACTCCTCCTCATTCTCTTTATTCCCATGTTCCCTACTTAACTCCCCCCTCATGCTGACACTGCTTCTCGACTGACGCCTATCCTTCCACCACTTCCCTCCACTGACAGTCCTCATGTCACTTACTCCTCAACCATCACGGAGGATTGGACTATCGAGGCTCAAGTTGGGGATTGTCTGATCGTCTTCTACTCGCGTAAGTTACTGCCTGCCAAGATAAACCACACTGCCGATGAGCGTGAGGTTCTCGCAGTAGTTTATGATACCCGACACTAGAGTCATTATCTGCACAGGGCGCCCTTTACGATATGCACGAACAACTTAGTTGTCCAGGTTTTCCTCACGAAACCCAAGTTTTCCGCTCGACAGGCACGTTGGTGGCGTGATTTATCTGAGTTCAGTTTCACCACTCGGCCTATCAAGGGTGAAACGAACCGCGTCGTCGATACCTTGTCATGCCGTCACAACCATAATCAGGAACCCATTCACCTTGCTGCCATCTCGGTCACCACCGTTTATCAGTCGGTGCACGATACATATCGCACTCAGTACCGCCACTGTCCGGATTATCGCGACATCCACGGGACACTGCGGAGTGGCAAGACCGTTCCTTCATACTCCATGGGTGAGAACGGTCTAGTGTACTGGCATGGTAGATCTAATCAGCTCAAACCATATATGTGTTCCCTCTTTCGGACAGCTCCGCATCCACGTCGTAGCAGAGTTCCATGACCAGGCAGTTGCCGGTCATATGAGCTTCCACAAAACATCGGTCCGTGTTTGTCGCCTATACGTCTGACCGAAGTCCAATGACTTCGTCAAAGCCTATGTCCAGGAGTCCCCTACCTGCCACAAGGTGAACAGTGCAAACCACCTTCCCTACGGGTTACTTCAGCCTCTACCCACGCCTGAGGGTCGTTGGCAGTCCATCTCGATGGATTTTATTGGTCCCCTCCGCCCTCCCACCGAGCGCGGTCATGATGCTATCTTGGTCGTCGTTGATCGGTTCACGAATCGTACATGTTTTGCCCCGTGCCGCTATCGCATGAGCGCTCGTGAGGTCGCCGACATCATCTTCGACCGAGTCGTGAGAAATCACGGCTTACTTCGAGGCATCATTTCCAATCGTGATCCGTGCTTTACCAGCACATTCTGGCCACGTCTACACGAGGTATACGGATCCCAGCTCCGCTTCTCGTCGTCTTACCACCCTCAAACAAATGGTCAGACCGAGGTCACCAATAAAACTTTCGGTAAGATCGTCTGAAAGTTTATTAGGGATGACCAACAGTGGGACTTACACTTAGCCCATGCGCAGATTGCGTACAACCACCTTGTTTCGCCAGCCACGAGAATGTCGCCATTCTATTGCGACCTCGACTACCACCCTTGCGTACCCGCTGATTTCCTACGACTGTCGCAGTTGCGCCTAGACAATCGTTGTCCTGCGCTTGACGCGTGGATCGCTCACATGGCGGCGATTATGAGGCGCGCATACTAGAGTCTAGCCGACTCCCAAACTCGCATGGCCGCACGAGCGAAACAATCACAAATGGATCATCCATTCAAAGTAGGTGATGATGTGCTCGTCGACGCACGCCACTTGCAACTCGAAGCAGACACGCTTCGTAAGTTCAAGCGTTGCTCCTTCGATCCATACCACATTCTTCAGGCCGTCGATTATGATATTGCCGCTAGTCCGACCAACTTCCATGTGAAACTACCTGATTACCTTCGATAGGCTCACGTCCACGATGTGTACCACGTCTCCTCGTTGCGTCCTTATCGCCAACTGCCTGAGCACTTCGCCGGACGCCCTTATGAGTGCCCTCCACCTATCATGATGGACGGCCACGAGGAGTTCGTCGTTTCCGACATTGTATCTCGCTGAGTTACCGACGATACCCCTCCACGCATCGAGTACCTTGTGCGTTGGAAGGGCTATCCTGATGAGGAGGCTACTTGGGATCCTCTAGAGCACTTGGAGCACGCCTGGATGTTGGTTTGTGCATATGATTGTGCTCGTAGTGCTGAGACCTTTGCTCCTACTCAGCCGACTGACCCTCTTCCTCCTCCTCCAGCTGAGGAGATTGTTAAGGATGAGCCCGCTCTCTCTGAGGCCGTTCTTCAGCGGCAAATGAACGCCTCCACACGTCCACAGCGCACTCGTCGACACCCTCAGCCTCTCGACGACTGACACTTTCATGACTTACCTATCCCCTACCACTGACTCACACTATCATGTACTCCGTCATCAACTTCTTCAGGATGTTAGCGCTTTGGGGCTTCGCTTCCACATCAACTCAACTCCTACTCCATCAATGTCATGTACCACCTCGACGACTTCAGCCACCTTCTCGACTTCAACTACTTTATCAACTTCAGCTACATTGGACGTGATTACTTCACACTACCACCCTACCTTGTGCATTCCTCTTTGTATGTGCTGCATGATGGTTCTCATTTAGCTAGTTCTCCCTGAGGTGGGTTCTCCCTTGGTATCGCATAGGCATTGGGACCGTAGCGTTATCTTGGCTTCGAAACTCCCAGATTTGGCTTCCTCCCTAGTCGGTGAGTTGTGTGCATGTTTCCCTCACCCACTACCCTCATCACCCTAGTGTCGGTCATTGCATGCCTTCAATTAGGCATATCTCCACCCTATTCCAAGCTCCCCTTTCATGATCGGCCCTGCATGGTGTCACCCTTTTGTGGAGCATTACCCACCTTAATGGCTTATCTATTCGTGTCATTGGTTTTGTTTCGCAACCATTCCCTCGCCCTAAGCCTGATGACCTATCCCATCTTCGTGTGTGACTGCCCTTGGGAGTTTCGATTCTTAGGCTGCATTCACCCCCTCTGGGACCATCCCACTCTTAGTGGTTCAACGCAACAATATTATCTTGTGGCATAATGCTACCTTTTCCTTTCAGCACTGTGGCAGTTGCCTCTATAGGACTTTAGAATTGTACCTTGCTACATTTCATTTCCTGCCGTTAGCTAGGATATGTATATCAGACATTTGCTTTCGCTATGACATTATGTAGCTTAGGCTGCATCGCATGGACTCTGCATGGATCTTGCTCCGTATCCTAGATTTATCAGCTTTATTGTTGCAGAGTTCCGCTGCTTTTGGGGAAGCGTGTTTATGGCTCTCGTGATCCACTACAAGTCTGAGGATCGTGCAGCGTGCCTCTGGCTTCCCTGGCCTAGAGCCAGGGCTATCTGGCTATTTTACCTGTTCGGCCTGTGGGACCAGGCCGTGGCCTGACCCCACAGACCGTGTGCTCATTCAGTCCAGTCCAGTCCTGCCCGGTACCACTGTCGGTACCATACCAGTCCAGTCCAGTCCAGTCCAGTCAGTCCGCTGGGGGTATACCCCAGCTGCAGTCTGTTTTCAGTCTAATTCTTCATTTGCACAAATTGGAGTACGTGCATGTTGAGTCTGAGTTGGAGCTGCGCTGTCCCTTCCAGCTCCATCTCCATCTCCCCCATCCTCATCCCTTCATTTTGATTTTGACGGACGGACATCCCGGCGGGTCCGTCACAATCTGACCATAATGAAGGCCAGAGAGAGCTCTGTCAAAAACGTCTTGGTGTGAGTATGGCCTCCGAATCTCAGGGTGAATCTTGGATCACATATCAGACTGATCAGCACAACAAAAAACAAGAAAAAAAAAAAAAAAAAAACAGAAAATCTGAAAAAGGATACCACAATTGATGCTAGTCAAAAAAGTGGGCACAACTATAATAAATCACCACCCAAAAAAAAAAAAAAAAAAAAAAAAAAAAAAAAAAAAAAAAAAAAAAAAAAAAGTTAAAAAAAMACAGGGTTTCTTTTTTTTTTTTTCAACTGAAAGAATCCATATAAAAGTCGGAAACCGGGTCCGGCGTCCCTCACAAACGCCGACCGTCATGACATGATCCGGGCACTTCGGCCAGGTTCATGCGCCGGTCGCAGTCAGCAATGAAAACTAAAAAAATCAGCAAACTCAAAACACCACAGCACAGACAATTTCAATGTCCCTAACTCAGACTCGCATTTACAGACTAAGTGAGATTCTACTTATTGTGTATCCTACAGTGCAACCCTACACAGGTCTGCAGAGCTTATGCAATCTATGTCAGATCCTATTTATAGTGCATTCTACAAAACACCAAAAAACTACGGGATCGTTCTGCCACAGACTAGGGAAGAAAACATAGAAGAAGGCATAAAACCAACGAGCAGAAATTAATCAGTACAAAAAGGCAGCAACTGGTTGTCAAAGGAAGAAGGTATAGAATTTCAGCTCCGGGTGTATCCTACAGTGCAACCCTACACAGGTCTGCAGAGCTTATGCAATATATGTGAGATCCTATTTATAATTTCATAGTGCATTCTAGAAAACAGCAAAAAACTACGGGAGCGTGCTGCCACAGTAGTATGGATTCCGTACATCTGGGCCTAAGTCCTCCTCCGTGCAAGCACAGATTCGAACCGGCGACTTCGGCCTCAAGAGCCAAGTCTCATAACCACTACAGCCAAGACACGGTGTTCAAAAGTGGAATCGTACCGGTCGTGATATCCACCCCACCCCTGCAAGGCTGTAGTGTCCAACTCAACACACACCACACACAACACCCACGGACACGGCAATTCTCGTACACTTCGCTCTGTAGTCAGCACGTAACCCTCGCTGGTACTCTTACCCGCTCACACAGACTAGGGAAGAAAACATAGAAGAAGGCATAAAACCAACAAGCAGACATTAATCAGTACAAAAATGCAGCAACTGACCATGGTTGTCAAAGGAAGAAGGTATAGAATTTCAGCTCCGGGTGCAGTGGAGGTTGCTGTTGGACCGTCAGCAGCCCTGCAGAAATTAATCAGTACAAAAATGCAGCAACATCGGCAGTGTAGTTTATCTTGGCCTGCCATCTGGTAACAAACCACCGCCCACATGCCAGCGGTCTGTGGCCAAAAAAGTATCCGTTGAGTCACTTGAGTCAGTTCTGGTTTCAAGTTTTAGACCACAGGTTCACAGGGGGCTAAGTTGACAGACCTAGCTTCAGAGGCTTTTTTTTTTTTCTAATATATATTAAAAGCCTGCGCCAATACTAGAGGGGATAATAAGAACAGCCCCCCCCCTAATAAGGGTTCTGCCTGCTCCAATCGATTAGCGGGAGCTGCACCAACCAGCTGGAAACCTAGCTTCCGAGGCTTGCAAGCCTGCAACTGCACCTTTCCAGAGTGGCCGGCCTGCCGCGTTCAATACCGGTTCTCGCCCCTTTTTTTTTTTTTTTTTTGGTTCAAACTTCGAACCTCTCACCGCATATTAAAAAAAAAAAAAAAAAAGGAAAAAAAAAAAAAAAAAAAAAAAAAAGGGAGAAAAGAAAAAAGAGGAAGCACTACTCACGTTCGTGTTTAACTAAGAAGGGAAAAAAGAAAGGCTTGGACTCCTTGGAGCATTTCATAAATTCATATACCAATCTAGGAAATAAATGTGCTCTGGAGCGTTTCATGCCGTTCAGGGAAATAAATGTGCCCCCAACTGCTCGAGTGGGTGGGAAACAACATAGCTCTTTTCCTTTTTTTTTTTCTTTTTTTTTTTTTGAACCATTCGCTGGTGGACCCCAATTTTCCCCCTGGCGATACAAGCACACGAGCAACATAGGTGTTGAAGGGGGTCCAAGAAGGGGCTGAGAGCAAAGATGGGGAACGAGGGAGGGAGGAGAGAGGAGGGGCAGAGAAGGAGGGAGGAGGGGCCGGGTAGAGGGTAGGGCGTTATGGGGTATTGGATAGCATAATTTACTGACCTGATTAATCATGTTCATGAAATTGAAAAGGGAGAAATTCTGGTCTTCGGTGGTAATGAGCATGTTGATAAGTGCATCCACGTCCTCCACCCCCATTTCTTGCCGTAGTCTTGCAAAGATGTTGGCATATGACAGTGTCTGTTTCTCATTCTCATTGGCTGGCTGTAGCAATTTTTCGGTCCATCTTCGAGGCAGATTAAGGCCGCGAAGCTTCATTCAAATTTCGAATAGGAGGATGTCCAATTCCAAAACAAACATGCCAATTACAGGAGACGACAAAACGTCAGATATCCAAGGATCTACTTTCTCTCTCTCTCTCTCTCTCTCTCTCTCTCTCTCTCTCTCTCTCTCTCTCTCTCTCTCTCTCTCTCTCTCT